ATTAGCTGCTGCTCTGTGCTAGCTTTTTTACGTTTACTTACAGCTAGTTTTACGCTTTTGTCGTTTTTGCTTTATTTTCTTTTTAAATTTAATGAGCTTGTTTCTTGACCTTTCACTACCTTTCGCTACACCTGCGGCGATGTTGTTGTTCTTGTTGCTGTTGTTGTTGTCGCCCGATTTGCCTAAAGTGCTGCATTTATTACATCTCCTTCTTTTACTTTCCATTTGCTTCTTTAAGTTTCAAGTTGTGTGTGTCTGTGTGTGTGTGTGTTTGTGTGTTTGGTGTGTTTTATGCATTTATTTATGTATTTCTTCTCTTTTTTTTTGGTTTCGTCAAAAAAGTTTCAAAAAAATATATATATATTCATCATTTCCTTAAATTGGCTTAATTAAAAAATGTTTCTCTCATTTATGCTTTTCCATTTTCACTTTGCTTCCAGCCGCGCCTAACAACTCAGACTTAGATGTCTAAGTTTTGCCCTTTGTTTAAAACACAATTCAATTCAATTAATTTAAAATTTGTTATTGGAAACTATTTGGTGTAGGGTGAGTGTTAATTAAGCTTACTCTCAAATTTATATATAGCAAAAATTTAACTACTAAGAAATCACACACGAATCGGGAAAACAAATACAAATCCAAGTAAACAAACAAACAAGCAAATTATTTCAAACACAAAACTTAAATGAAAAACAGTTTACAATTTTATTATTTTTTTGGTTTTTTTTAGTTTTTTATTCAAAGTTTTTTTTTGTGGTTTAGTTTTCAATTTTACGCACTAGACATTTGCTTTAAAAAGTACTTCAACACATTTTCATCAATTTCAATTTCAATTTCTGTTCCGTTTCGCTCTGTTTCTGCCAAATTCAAACTTGAGCGCAACCGGAAAACATCAAGGTTTTGCCTTCTTATGCGGTTGTTGTTGTTACTTTTCTCTCTTTTAAGACAAATAATAAATTAACTACTTAAAATTAGTTAAAAAACTAAAGTAAAACGCATTAAATTAAAACAAAATACAGACGCAAAACAAACAAGTTTTAAGTTTGGCTTGTCAAAGTAGAATAAAAAAAGTTCAAATAAAAAAAAAACCTCTGCTCGCAGCGGCTGGCCTTTATAGCTGCAGCGCACTGCTCGCCAATTTTAGGCAATCGATCGATCAGTGTATCGATTGCTTATCGACTGTATATGCAAAATTATAACTAATCCGAACTTGACGACGCGCCATTTACCAACACTGCGTACGCAAGCGTGCGCATCTCTCGCTTTCCTCGTTCTAACTACACAAAAACTACAAATTTCTAACCCTCCGTTCGTCGTCTTCGTCGCATCTCCTTTCACTCTAACCAACTAATTAGACGCTTGCGCGTTTCTACCAATTAAAAATCATATTTCCTACATCAACTACTCTTCTCCCGTTCTACTGTTTCTGGTTCTGCTTCCGCCTGTTGTTCTTAATCAACGCAACACTTCTTGTCAAATCTATACTTAGCTCTGCTAAACTTAAACGCTAGTGCTTTGATCTTAGTTACTAAGTTGTTGTTGCTGTTGTCTCTCCTACTATTTCTACGCCTACTCCTACTCCTACTACTCCACAATCTTCGTCAACTTTATATTCTTTTCGTATTCTTTATAATCATCTACAACGTGTGTGTTTTATGCTCTTGGGGATTTTGTAGTCTGCCCCGTTCTTGGCTTAAAACTAGGGTTTCTAAACTTTTGCAGCTAAGATTTAAATTTCTTGCCCCTCTTTTTTCTACTTTCTTCTCATGTCCTTCTCGTTATAAATAACCTAAAGTTTAATGTTTTTATGTTTTTCTGCCTAAAAACAGCGCAAAAATGTTGATTAAGTTATGTTCGCTAAGAGTTGAAACAAAACGTATTTAAAAGTAAAATACAAATTTCAGAAATAAATATTTTAAAGCAAATCGAAAATTGCACTTTGTGTAGAGATACAGAGTATAGAAGTAAGGGGGCGGGGTCGGGGGTGAGAGCTAAGTAAAGACAAATGTGAGCATGAAAACTCAAAAACAAAACTCTTGAAATTTTGTTGTATTTGTGATTTTTGCTTGTTTTTTTCAGTTGGTTTCTCTAGTTTCTGTTTTATTTGCAGAGGCGTCACCTGTTTTTTCTTCTTCTATTAAAAATATTCAATTTGTGTACAAAATTTAGTTCTTTTTGCTTTTGGAATGTTTTTGCAAAATATTTACCCCATTTGCTGGCTTCGGTTGGCTTTTTGCATCTCTGACGACGACGCTTGCAAGATTTGAGATGTTTGTGTGTGTGTGGGTGTATGATTATGTGTGCGTGTGTGTGTATGTCTGTGGGGTTTGTCAATCCTGCATTTCCATTGAATTCATTTTCTTTTTATTGTTACATTTTTCAATTTGGTATTCAGTCTAAAGCAAATTACATGTTGTACAAATTAAAAAAAAAAAGAGTAGAAAAAAGAAAACATGCACTGCACTTTTGTTTTGGTTTAGGCTTAGGAAGACTTTTGGCGTTGTGTTTTCATTTTGTATTTATATATGTAGATTTCATAGATTGTTAGCGTTTAGGCATTTAGACTTGACAATCAATCTATCTGAACCGAAAACATATATGTAGTTAACATACATACATATGAAAATCAAAGACTTTGCTCAGGAATGTTTGTTTGTGTTTGTATGTGTGTGTCTTGTCTCTGTGTGCGTACGTGTGATGTGTGGGTGGAAAATGAGCGCGAACAATGAAATGATGAATCCCTACTGGAATCTCGCTGAATCTCAAACACTCTCGAATAAGTAACACTCAACACGCTCTGACTATCTCTCTCTCTCTCTCTCTTTCTTTCTTTCTGTCTGCCTTTCTCTGAGATTCTCAAAGCCACTGAACTCACTTTAAATCGTTAATGCATCAATATTTCATTCAGTAAAATCACAAATACAATGTGTGTGCTTAGGCGTGTTGTGTGAGAGTGTGTGTGGCGTGTGGTGTTTGATGTGTGTTTGTCTGAATTTTGTCAAAGAAAATAAATACGCTAGGCTTTAATTTCAAACACTGTGCTGTCTGTATGTCTATTGATCTATTGATCCAACGATCCATCAACCCATCGACTATTTTTTAAGACTTACAATTAGAGACTAAAGAAATAATCGCTGCTGCATTCTCTTTTTCTATTGTTGTTTCTTTCTGTCGTCTTATTGCTATGTTGTTAATCTTAGTTTTTTTTTTCATTTTAAATTTATTTTTTTAACATTAATTTGCTTTGTTTTTTGCTTTTATTTCTGCTACTGCTGTGCCTTGACCTTCTTTACTCTTGCCTGTTGTTCTTCATTCTTCTCCAATCAATTTAAAACAGTTCGCATCTTTTTCCACTTACAAATTCACTACGTTTTTCACGTGCCACAATGCTAAACTACATTGCTACAATTTCATATCGGGTTTATCCCTACTACTTGCTGGTTTTTCCCATCTTTTATAAAGTGTGTATGCCTCATTGTTTGCCTTGCACTTTCAATTTCTATTCCTATGCCTATGCCGTCTCTCAACAACATCCTAATCATTATTCGCATGATAATCATAAACATCTCCATTCATTCCCGACTCTGCTGAACTCTGCTACAGCTTGTTGTTGTTGTTTGTTTGTTTGCAGACAAAAAATACGCTATGCTATCTTCTATCTTGCTGTTGTTCTTCTTCTTATTCCAATTATGTATCTTAGCTTTAGTTACTAGAAAAAAACACACACAGTTAAACGTAAAAAACTGTAGACAGCTACAAAAAATTCATTAAATCGACTGATGAGCACAAAAATATGCTAAAAACTAGTACAAGAATTCTTATTTTTTTTTATTATTTTGTTTTTGTTATTTCTTCTTCATCAATTTCATCATCGTCTGTTGTGTTTCCTATTCACGTTCTTCATACCTATCATCGTTTATTCCTCATCTCTTCTCTTTTTTTTTTTGTTAGACTCTAAAACTACTAAATTTGCTGCTTACTGCATTTTTGCTAGTACTTAAACCTAATTTTTTTTTATTTATTTATTATTTAACTTTCTGCTGCTGGTTTTATAGTTTCAGGAAAAATTAGCAAAATGTGTGAAACGTTTGCAATTAACAAATAAATCTTTAAATAGTTGCAATTCCCTTTATTTTGTGGGTTTGCATTTTTCTTTACAATGTCAACTCTTTTGTTGCTCTTCACGCTCTTTCGAGAGAGTAAGAGACAAAGTTCGCTCTCTTTGCTTTGTGCTTTAAACACTTGATTCTTAAAAATCTCATTCTCAGCATTCATTTTAAATAGTTTGCCTGACAATTTGAATGGAAAAAACATAGAAAACCAAAATAGTTTTCATTGTGTTTTTTTTTGTTTTCATTTTCTTATGGACTATAGAAAATAAATTTATTCGCTCTTGGTTGAGTTTATTTGTTTTCATTTAATTTATCTTTTTGTTTTGTTGTAAATCATCAAATTGTTTTTATTTACTTTCTTGTTTGTTTTTATTTTGTTTTTCTTCCTTTTTCGTTAATTTTTAACATACATTGCACACATTTTTTTCGGGTTCTTCGGTTTTCATTTGCTTTGCTTCGTTTCTTCACAAATGATTGTGTTTTTCTCTGCTTAAACATTTACATGCGCTGCTTTTCCCATTTTCTCTTTCAATGCAAGTTGTTATTTTTGTTTTATTCCTTAAATAAATTTACTTAACTAGAGTTTTGCGTTTTCTTTTTGCAAATTGTTGTTGCTTCAAGTTTATGTTTGCAGTTTTGCCGTTTTTTATATTATTTTGTTTTTGTTTTTTTCTTTTAACTTCTCTTCTAAGAAAATGTTGCCCCCTTCTGGTGAGTTTTTCCTGCTTTCAATGAAAATTTCGACCCCTTTCTACTACTACTTTCTCGTTTACTTTTGCTGTTGTTTAAGCATATTTTTTTAGTGTATAACTAATTTCTATTATTTAAGTTTAGTCTTTGCTTTTCTTCACTTTTTTACGCTCTCTCTTAACTCCGTTTCGCTCGCTCTGTATTTTTCTTTCCTTTGTTGCTGTTTCTGCTGCTTTCTCTTTTATACATAACTCTTAATTCTCTTTCTCTAGCTTTTCTTTATTTTTTTAAACAATATTTTTTTTTAGGGAACAGCATTTTCGACTGTTATCAAACTGTTTCTGGTCTGATGTGGCCTTCTCCTCCTTCTCCTTCTCCTCCTTCTCATTTTCTCCTTATTCATCTGCTTCTTCTTGTTGCTGTTTCCTCCACGTGTTGTTTTTGTTGAAGATGTTGTTGTTTTTATTGTTGTTATTCCAGCGCGTAATGCTCCCAACGCTAACCCTCCATCACGTCCATTAAATAGTACTCAAATGGGGTACTAAAATATTATATCTGCAACGTTGGAAAACAATTAGTTTAGAATAAATGATGTGTATATTGAAAGTGGGGTTAGGATGAACGGGAGGTGGGATTTCAGTAACTATATCACTCCTAAAGGAAAGCTTTCTGTATCGATTATCGAATTTGTAAATGCTCTTCGCAATTATATTTGGTATAAATATTATTTTAAATTTTCCTAAGAAATGATGGGTACATAAAAAGTAGGGTTAGGGTGAGTGGGAGGAGCTGGGATTCCCAAAAGGAAAGCTTTCTGTTCTAGTAGGTTTAGGGTGAGCGGAAGCTGGGATTTCAGAATCTAAAGGACAACTTTTTATATAGATTATCTACTTTTTTAATGCTCTTTTACAATAACCTTTGGTAGGGATATTGTCTTTCTTTATTTCCTTAAACACTTAGGACTTCGTTTCTTCTGATATGATAAATATTTTGGGAAACACTTTCATTTAAGTCTAGCTAGGAGATTCAGAGGGAATTAGGTAGGTTTAGCATGCAGGTAAAGGAAGGCAAACGTAATTGTTATATAAGCATGATATGGATGATATTTACCTAGAATGTGTTACCAGTGTTTAGGCTGCTTAGTAACTATACTAAGTATGCAAGAAAGAGCGTATGTTGTGATTGTTGTAGTTGTAGTTTTGGGCGCAGGAATAAAAAAGAAGTAGAAAATAAACGAATTGCGCTTAGTTATGAGAGTTGAAGAGTTTAAAAGTCATGAACAGATCTTGTAAGCAAACAGGCAAGCAACAACAAGCAGCACACAAAACGAATGAAGAAAGTGTAAAAAGAAGAAGATGATAAAGCAAAATCACCAATAATCGGGAAAGTAGAGAGTATTGCAAATGTGAATTGTGATTTGAAATGAGGCGAGTATTCAACGAGTGTAGGTGGGGAATGAAAAAACTTAAGCACACAGCACATGCAGCAAAACAGTGTTGGCAAACGTAAGAACGCTCTAAGTGGGGTGGCCAGGCACAGTGAGTGCCCGCTAAAGAGGCCATTGCCTACAACAAAGCACAACTAAAGCAAATGAATGAGGACTCTATGTCAGGGCAGAGAGATCAGAAAGCGATTCGAGACATGGACTTAGTAACAGACGGAAGAGACGTTGACAAATAGACACAGAGAGAGACAGAGAGAGAGATAGAAAGAGAGATTGAGAGAGAGACAGAGAGACATCACTCACCTCGCGAAGACCTATTTGGGAGCGGCTTGATGTGGATACTGTGTGTATGCCTCGTCGGGTGATGCAGCTGTGCTAGCCTGTTCGGAATCTGTCATTGGCATTGTTGGTATAATAGTTGGTGGTGGTGCATAATATGGATAAGTTGGACTAATATACTGTAACGATGGAGAAAAATTCTATAAAGGAACCGAAAAGAGAACGGAAAAAACAATGGAATAAAAGAACAGATATAGAATACAAATTATATATCAAATATCATTCAAAAATTCAATTGCAATTACACACAAACACGCACGCACACATTTATTGAGATATAGATGATGAACAAATATGAAGAGACGCACGCATCTTCAATGTTTTCTACATCTATTCAATAATGATCTAGATAATACTCATGCTTGTCTATATAAACATATATTCATATATCAGAGCTGAAAGACTGTTTTACAGTAAATATAAGTACGTATAAAGATCGCTTTATAGTTGGAAATATCCAGAAACCTGCACGGGAATTAAATTCGGCAGTTCTTAGTTTTGAAAATTTGTTTTTTTTGTTTAAAACACTTTTGAATATGGAATAACCAAGAAGCCTCTTAGTTTTCTATGTAGATATAAATCAACTTCAATAATGGTAAATATATATATAGTATTTCTCGTTAATCTGGATAATTAAACGTCCTGCAAGGGCGAAATTGTCAATGAAACAACCTAATGCGTTTAACAATAATAAAGAGGTATAGTAAAGAAGGAATCGATATCGATAAGGACGTAAGCGATATCGATAAAGACGTAATCGATTTAGATATTTTCAGCTCTAATATATATGCATCCATGCATGAGTATTTTCTGAGTAGTTCTTCGTTATGTAACTGTTCAGATCGGACACCCGTTAGCACTTACAGAGTTGCCAATCTGCAGGGTGGCCAACTGTGGCATCATAGTTCCATATGGCACAGCCGTGTCACCACTGACCATCATCGATATGCCGCGTGGTTGCACCTGATTAACAGCCTCCGGTTTGTACGAGGTGACGCCCAACTGGGGACCGGCAGCCATTTGCATGTACTGCAGGGCAGAGGAGGAATACTGATAAAAGTTGGGCATATGTTTGCCAAGTACGGAATAATATGCAGCACTCACCTGATCATCTACCTGAGTGATCGGCTGTGTCATCATATAGCCGGGTATCCATTGCGAGCCAGCGACCGGATAGCCACCGACCTGTGGTGCCCCGAAACGGGAATAGGGCACACCGATGGGTGTGCCGACATTGACGCTGACGCCATTTTGTTGCATGCTCGGATCGTAGGCAACGGGTATGCCCTCGGCGGAGACATCGCGCCACGCGCGCGCATTCGGATCGGGCGTCTTGAAGAGATTCTTCTTTTTGGGACCGCCATCGGCGAATTTCACCAATAGCGGATCTTTGGCACCCGGTATTGTGTTACCGTTGAACATTTGTATAATTTGTTCGCACTTCTCGCGGCTCTCCATGCGTGCAAAGCCAACGCCTGCAAAAGGGATACGGAATTAATTAGGGATTTATTATATATAGCGTGCATTACCCGGCATTGCCTGGGCAAAACTATTCAGATTGTAGACAAAACATCCATCCACTAAATCTACATTCTCAATCTACAAGCACGGCCCAGAACTCCATGCCCCAAATCAATATATACATTCAAATGAGTTTTAAATCGAATGGATTAAGATCAAAAAATGCCAATGAAATTTCCTTCTAACGATCTTTTATCCGAAATCTGGAATCTGGTAACAAGAGCCAACATTTCAGCCTTCTATGTCTAACGTTCAATTAGTCAGTCAGTCTGTACAAATAGTTATATATATATATATATATATATGTAATGTATCTATAGATCTCTCAATAGATAGAGAAGTTTACAGACGTTTAGCTTACCCTTTGAGTTCATTTGCTGATCACGCAATATTCTGGTGGAGACAACTTGACCATATTTCGCTAGCATTGCCTCCAGATCGGTTTCTTTGAAGTGTGGCGGCAAATTTGCAATATACAAATTTGTGGGATCCTGTTCCTGTTGCTGTGTAGTTGTTGACGGCATAGGATAGCAGCGTGTGTGTGTTGTTGTTGTTGTTGTTTGTTGTTCATTGTTGTAGTTGTTGTTGTTGTTGTTGGAGGATCAATCGAATCAAGTTTTAGTTGAATATGTTTCATTTGTTTAAAAAATTGCACACAAAAATTGAACATACACAAACAAAAGCAGTTTTGGCAGAAGCGCATGTTGTATGTGTGTGTGCGTGGGTGTTAATGGAGTGTGTGTTAGGCGTGTTGTGTGCGTGTGTGTGTGGATGAGCGACACAGACGACGCATTATCAAAGAGAGAGAAAGAGGAGGAAAGAAAATTAAAACATAAATTTTGTCATTAGTAAAATTTTTAGTAAAATTTCAAAAAAATTTCTGTTATTGGTAACTGGCTCTGTGTGTGTTTGTCTGTTGAGTGTGTGTTGCAGTGTTTGTGTGTGTGTGTGTGGGTGTTGTTTAGTGTGCCTGACTTAATGCTTATGTCGGATGTTGTATGTTGTTCATGTAATGCCAAGACCTAAAACATTGCTTAATTAAAAAATACCTAAAACACAAAAAGTAGCGAGTTTTTCAAAAAACCGCCAAAACAGACCTAAGATATAGTAAGATATATACAAGCTGTATTGTTACAGTTAGTGTAAGATGTATGCGCATATATGGAATGTATGTTTGTATGTATGCAGAATTGCCTAGTTATGCACTTAATTAAGTTAAATACCTGAACACTTATGTATGTCTTAGTTTTAAGGTGAGTTTAATTTTTATACTTAGAGTTTAGATTTGTTTTTTTGTTTTTGTAGTATATATATTTCTTTTTTCTTTTATATAGCTTAGTTAGTTTTTGGCCGGCACAGGTTTGTAGCATTTTGCGTACTCAAACAACAAACTTGGTAGGTTGATTATATGGCTGGCTATAACTTCAAATATACGATTACAATTTATACAGTTTTTGAGAGATACATGTTATGCAGAGTATAAAGAGTTTATATATATAAAGAGAGAGAGAGATAGAAATTAAATGAGCATCAATTCTAAGTAATATTTGTAGCTAAGATATTAAATTGCGTTTACGTTACGTTACGTTACGTTACGTTAGACTTCACACTAACTGTTTGTACAACGAAAAATATATAATTATTTGATGAGCTCCTAAATGGCATCGATTTATCAACTATCTATTACTATAGTTGGTTATAAAACTATTTGTTTTGATATGGTTACGTGTTTACAAAGCTATCGATTCTTTCCATTTTTATCTTTATACCAGCTAATCAAATGTTACGATATATGTTACGGATCGAAGTAATAATAACATTATAATTTGATTTCCTCTATTCAGCTACTGAGTTCGAGAGTCTATGTGGATTGTGTGTGGGCCAAGTTGGGTTAGTTACGCAATTATTGACTTACTACTTAAATTCAAAATTACAAATGATATTTAACTAGGGTGTAATTGTATGTACTTGTAAGTTAATACTGAACGAATACGCAGAAAACTGTTAAGAACAAAAATGTAGCAAGTAATCAATTTTCTGTATTTACAGTGAAAACTTCTCAAACGGACTCTGCCTTTAGGCAGACAGGAGCAGGGGGAGACTATGCCCATTCACCCTCTATTAGGCGGACACAGAAAATGTTCACTGCATTGTTATCAGGGCTGCAATTCAATGTTGAATCAAACCTTTCCCACAATTCGGTTGAATTAAAATCAAAACCGAATTATATTTATACGATTGTACTCTCAACCCATTTGAAATGGGTAAAAAGTGTATACTGATTTTGTGTAAATGTATGTAACAGGCAAAAGAAAACATTTTCAACCCCATAAGGTCAATAGCCGAGTCGATCTAGCCATGTCCGTCTGTCTGTCCATCCGTTTGTCCGACTTTCTATACATCCGTCCGTCCGTATGTATTCGCTTTTATCTCAGAGCTTATAAGAAATAAAGTATATTCCATTTCACCCCCCTCTTACAGTGAGACTTATTTGGCGTTGGTAGAAGAAGATTAAGGGTATCCCCTAGTCGGACAGAGCGCTCTTGTTTTTGTATACATTTGCAGCCTTAATTATAATCTATATATAATTGCTGTAAAAATCGCTTTAATCTGAATACTCATAGCTATTATTATATTAATAATATATGTTATTTGAATATATGTCAGATATACTAAAAAAAAAATAAATTAAAAACTATTTTAAATCTATGATAAACTATGATTATATTGTTTGGGCGCAGTTTTGATAGCATGTCACCTATTCGTATAACCTTGCAGTTGCTTTCAGAACTGATACAACAGACTTAACAAAGTCGAGTTGTTTCTCCAGTTCTCAGATTTAAGGAATTGTAAGTACTTCGTATGGATAATATGTATTGTAGTTGAAATCAACTTGATCGGAATAACATTCTGTGAACTTAAACTGATTGCATTTCTTTTGTTAAAATTGCAACGGATCGGTATGCTATATTAGCTAGCTCCACAATAGTTGGCATATCTGCACGGCTATATAAACTACGGCATGCCGAAGTTATTATCTTTCTATCTGTACTAAGATAATAGCTCGATGAACTGGGTTTACGAGATGTTTGTACTTTCAACTAAGCGATACGTAACTACTACTTATAGATCTATTTATATTACACTAATTGAATACCTGGCCACTATTGAAATGAAATTTGTTTGAGCAATTGTTGAAAATTAAAAATTGCTCTCAATGCAATTAATTTACCAACAAATCCGCTAAATTGTTATTAAATTTTCATTAATTTTTCTTTCATGATATAAATATTTTTTTTTTTCAATTTATATATTTGTTTTTCTGCTAAAGGAAGATTAAAAAGAAGGATTATAAATTGGCGTGTTAACGTTTTTTTGATAATAAATACTAATGAGAGAGGGGAGCAAGAATACAACCAAATCGAAATTAATGAATGACATTAATAAATGCATTTGGCTTCAATTATTATTAAATGTACACTAAATTGAAACGCATTTTAAATACGTATTTAATTGAACACTTTCGCAGCTAGACTCGATGAGCTCGATGAGGAAATATATCTACGAGGACGTTTAAAATAATTCAAACAATTTCTTGTGTGGCTGCTTTAGTTATATCCAAATTCTCAATTATGAATTAATAAACATGTTTAAGCTACGCTAAAAATGATTCATAGATGATTACTAAATTTGGTTATAAATATGTACGAGAATATAAGTTGTGTATGTGGGGTGGGACTAAGTAGTATAATGGGGTTTAAAGTATATAGTACGATATACGATATACAAGAGTCTTTTATATAGTTTAACAACACTACAAACTAGGGGTTTGGCTAAGGTTTGGGCGTGGGCACAGGTTTTGGGGTAGGTTTTGATTGAATTCAAAAAGAAACGAAAATAAGAGTTGCGAGATTTATAAAAATAATTTGGCAATTTATTTTAGCCGCACACATTTTGTGTGGGAGTTGCAGAAAGTTCACTCAGCATCGCGAATCAATATAAATTTGCAAGCAATTCCGAACGAATTCGACCGTCTCTTTGGCAAACTGACAGCACAAATGTGCAAACTTTGTGAAATGGAAATGCAAAAGGGGTCGCACAAGGCAGACAAAGGATAAAAGAAAAAGGAAAGAACCCAAACTGATTTCGCAGCTATGGCGAATAACTTAAGCCTCGGCGTGGGCATATTGACCTTTACAGGATGCGCGTGGGTAGCTCTGAGCTCTGAGGGATGTGTGAAATAATGCAAAGCAAGATTATTCTCGATTCTTCGTTTGGGTTTGTTTGTAAAGGAATTTTATAGATATATATTTGAAAATGACTTTGCAGTCTAGTGTAAAGTTGAATCGAAAGTTCGTACATATAAAATTCCAAATTTAAATGAGAACTTGACGTGATTCGCATTTGCAGACTGCAGAAGGGTAATAGTCTATAAGAAAATCAGGTGCAAGAGTTGCTTGTTGCCTTTTTGCAAATCCTTTGAAGAGTTTGTAATAAAACAGACAATATAACATATAAAAAAAAATCGTATGATAAAATTAGAATCATATTCTTAAATAAACTTAAAAACAAAAGCAATTTGAAGCATAGTGTAAACGAATAATAATGTTGGGTTAGTTGGATTTTGTTAAATGGGCTTTAGTTCAGGGTTAGATACGGATAAGGGGGGTGGTGTCCCGGTCTAGGGGGTGGTTGGGATGGATTGGGATAGGATAGTTTGCGGTGTGAGGGGTGAGTATTACTTGCATGCAAACAAACGTACAATGGCCGGCCTATGAAGCACCCAGATACCCACTTTGGCCATCTGAGCTTGCACGCCCTTCGCCTGCAGTCCCTTGACGGCGCCCTCAGCGTAGGCTGGCTGCTCGAAGTCGACGAAGCCGTAACCTGTAAGAAACATATTTTGTTTTTGTTTTGTTTTTGTTTTTCGTTTTGGTTTTGGTTTCGGTTTTTGTTCGTTTTGTTGCGTGAGTGTTTATTGTTTTACAGGGGGCGGAGGTGGAATTTTTTTAATTGCATGTTGAAATACATATATAAATATATATATATAATTGTTTAAATAGTTTATATATTATTTAATTTTTGTTTGCACACATTTTAGAAAATTTGTATTTTTTAAAAATTCAACAATTTTTGCACGTGCAAAATAAGTTTTAAGAATGAAAAACAATCAAAACAAAAACAAAATATATTCGAAAAGAATTTCGAATTAGATAAAAGAGAAACAGAGAGCGAGGTGGGAAGAGAGAGAGAGAAAATGGTGAAAATAAATTAATAATTTCTTGGCACATCATTTTGCTGTAACTTAAAGAGAGCAACGGAAAGTGTTAGGTAAATAAATAAATTATATTATATATAATAATTTGTATGCATATCAAAAGGAGGTACAAAAATAAATCAAATTACAGAATAGACAAAGCCTTTCACATAATACACACACACACAATTTGTACAGCTCGTTATTTGTGGCACATTTTATATATATATTTATAAGAGCGGGTATTATCAATATAATTATCATTAGCAGTAATAATAATAGTAGTTATAGTTAATATATTTGGGGTTAGAGTGCAGTAGTAGATAGGTGAATGCATGAATGATTCGATTGCGAAATAAGAAATATACGAAATTATAAACTCAAAAAATAAGAACTAATCAAATAAAAGCAGAAGTTTAAACATAAAAAAAAATCGATAATTTTTAGCTGCCAATCGGTAATTTTGTCCTTTATCAATAATAAAAAAAAAACATCAAAGTACCAGTCACAAATAACGAGAACGAGCAATAAGATTTAAACAAAATACTTGAGAAAACTATAGACAAATTAAATATGACGAGTACTCTAGGGTATTTATAAAAGTAACTTAAAAAATATTTAATAATATTTTTTAAATATTTTTTTTAGTTTATAGATACTTCAATGAGATTTATTTGCCATATTCTTCATTATTTGCAAAACAAATATTTCATATATTATTATTTAAGCCATATTTCTAATATGTTTGGCAAAGAGATGAACCCCTTGTGACCTTTGAGTACTGCGCATATTTATAAACTTATAAAAATACAAAAAATACGTAAAAAAGAGAAAAGAAAACTTTGTAAGAAATAATTGGTTAATTTTAATTTTTTTTGGTATTTGTATTCTTTTCTGTTTTTTGTTTTTGTTTTTGATTACATAACACATACTAATAATACATATACGAAAAACACACATAAATAAAATAATGATGAGAATGGTGAAGAAAAAAATACCTTTACATTTGTTTGTTGTTTTATCTAAAATAGCCTTGGTTGATATTATTGTTCCGTATCTGTAAGGGAGAGAAATAGAGCGGAGTAAAGGTAAAACAGTGAATTAGTGAGCGCAAAAAACATGTGTAAATCAGACGTAAAAACAAACTAACTACAAGACTTTTGCATGTCAGGGGCGTGTGTGTGTGTCAGAGTTAACAGTTGTTTATATAAAAATATATTTATTTTCTGTCCTGCTGTGTGATTGCCATAAGCCGTGTGCGTGTGAGGCTTTAGCTGGCGTTTCGTTTTTAGCTATTTTGTTTTTGTTGTTGGTTTTGTCTAAACGTCACGACAAAAAGATATAATAATAATAATTTTGGTTTCTAGGCGGCCAAAGGATACAATATATATGTAGGCGGCAATTAAATAGTCATTAAAATGCAATATTTATGGCGCGCGCTGAAAAGTAGGCAACGAATTATTTTCGTGGCGCTGGAAATTGCTTATTTGAGCTTGGACCAGACGAGTCCTGTCAGGCAAATTAAATCGATATCAGCATAGTTACAGACATCGATGAGACACACAAGCACACACCCGCACACCCACATCTTTAGTTATACGAATAAGCGCTTATATGTAGTTATAATAACATTAGAGCTGCCCAACGAATAAGCCGCTTATTTTGATTGCCCCGCAGTCAAGCAGATGCAGCAGCAGCAGCAGCAGCAGAAAGAAAAAAACATAATAAAGGGTGGGCTTAGGCGCACAATTCTGTCCCAACTCAAGGCTTGCTACGCGAAAAAAAAAAAGCAGCAGCAAATTAACCTTCAATTTAATTACTTGACTTATTAGGCAGCGAGCGGCCCCTTTCAGTTAAGACTGGACTCGTGTAAGCTCTCTAGCTGGCCCCTGCCCCGCAGCACTTGACTTAGGCGCCTACCCGTGGCTTTTTTCATTATTTTTTTATGTGCCTGGCATCTCTATATATATATATATATATATTAATATATTTTTTATGCATATTTTGTTGCTGGCCTAAATAAAGTGCGCAACGTTGCGTATGCGTAATATATAAGCCATACACCACGACATCATCATTACCAAATGGTTGTAGTTGAAGTTTTAGTATTTGTTTTTTCGTGACCATTGATGAAGCGTGTGCTCTAATTAGTGGATTTTGTTTAGTTTTGCTAAAACCCGTTTCCTGCAGAGTAGAACGGGGCATACAAATATATATTTGTTGGGGGGTTGCTTGCCTCCCCCTGCCCCTACCCCCTTACCAAAAAGCGAGTGCTTGGGGCGCTGGTGTATTGAGTTGTATGTGGCCTTTGTAGAAATTCAACGAAGCGGAATGAGCTGAGGCTTAGCTGCTCATTAGCAGAGCGGGAATGGGGGGCACAAATTGAATTTTAGCTTTGGGCCATGCTTGCAACAAATTTTGATACATTAGCCATAGGCTAAGGGTTTGCACCACCCCAAAACATTTGGGCAGGCATAGTTCCAATAGATATACATCGAACAATTTAAATGCCAATCGATAAGCCGCAATTCTATTTAAACATAAATATTTTTCATGCAAACCCAACTGAATTGTACGTTTAACAATTGAATTCTTTGCCGGGCTGGAATTATTAATATTTAAGCACAATAGCAGATATGCCTATAAAGGATTGTTATTTGCTTTACTGAGAAGGCAGAGAAAGCTGAGAAGACTATGTAAATTTCATTTGAATGAAATCCCAAACTAAACTTTATTTTGTCTTCTATATAAAAAACTTAAGACTTCTTTAAGGTAATGCGCAGACTATGCAGAGTTTGTCATGACTTTATTCTATTGGTATCTTTTTGTCTATTCTTGAAATGTATAATAACATTTTAAGTGTCCATATCCTTATGTAGTATGTGTATATATATATATATATATAGTTGTGTAATTGAATAAACGATACTCACTGTGCACACATATTGATCAGATCCTTATCGGTTGTGCCTTGCTGCAGTCCGCGTATATAGAGATTTGTCTTTGACAACTGCTCGCCGCCCTGTTGATTTTGATTCTGTACCGTGCCGTTGGGACCCATTGTGGTGTTTGTGTTTGTCGTGTTGCTCAGACTGGTGCTCAGTGTGCCGCTCTGGGAGCCCGTGTTCGATGAGCTGCTCGAGTTCGTGTTGCTCGGTGAGGCTGCAGTCGGAACACGCTGGCCGTACTGGAGTTCAAAGAAAGAGATAAACGAATAAAGTATTAGTGAGAGCGAGCGAGAGAGATAGAGCGCATTGTGGTTAGATTGACAACAAACTGTCCACAATATGCACACGCAAATATTCAATGCTTTTCCGATTATATTAAGCGATATTTTCAATGTGTGTTCCACAGCTTTGTGTGTCTCTGTCAGCATTTGTGTGTGTGTATGTTTGTGCGCGTGTGTGTGCATGTGATAAAGTATTTTTATTGAAATTCCAATCAGGCATACGAAGTTATTGAATGGCTGAGAGCTCAACTCAATGCCATACACACACACACACACATATATACAAAATGTACAAAGCATATGCCATATGGATGTGTATATGAATGTGTGGGTAGTTGAGGTATAGTTGGCAAAGGATACACAGAAGGATATGCAGCGAAAGGCATGTGGACCAAAGCTGTGTTGATGGCGTTTTTCACTTAAAATGCCACAGTGCAAGCGCTTCTGAGAGCGTGTGTGAGTGTCATTGTATGTGTGTGTGTTTGCATATAGCACAGCGCTGCAGGATATTTGGCAGCATTGCAAGGCAAGCGTTGAAAATCCATAAAATTTGTATGCACACACACACACACATCGACACATACACACAGCTATCACTTGATACACTTATATTCTGTTTTGTTTTATTGTTTGGAAATTTGCCAAAAATAAAAGGCTAACTATGTATATTATTTTACGCTGGCAGCAAAAAACAACAACAAAAATCTGCAACAGTAAGGATTAAAAAAATATCAACTTAATAGATATGAAGTGCAAAGTCAGGCGGCTATTGGCCCGACACGCCCCTTCTTTAAAGCGAATGCAATTTTCTAATTGTTTTCGTTATCGATTTTGTGCTTCTAGTTGCGATTGCAACACGAACCTTATCTTGTCGTGTCTAGTGTCATGTTAGCTGCCACATTTTGTGGCATTCAATTCGGTTCGCAGCTGTTGCAGCTGCGGCCACAACGATAAGCGTTACAATTAAAAGCCGCAACACAAAAAAAAAATGTTGGGGAAAAGAATTTAATATATTTAATATTTTAAGAACCAACCGCAAAATATTTAAATTAAATTAATTGCATGCTTTTTTTGTAGTATTTATATTTTATGCGGTTACGAATCTTTATTCGTATCAACAATTTTTAGACTTTGTTATTAAAAGTTTTTTCTTATATACTATAGAGTGTAGCATGGCAACGCCCATTGCAATACGGGAACATTTTAAGTACCATAGACAATATTGTATATGTGAGTATACAGAAATCTTCAAGAGAAATCCCAAATTGTAGTTGAGTATCTCTTTCTCTCTCTCCTTAAACAAACCGTCGAAAAAGCTAAGACTTGACTCTATGAGAATCGCATCGAAAGGCGATTTGGAACAGAAAACATCAAGCTAGTGAAAGAAGAGCTAGTCAAAGAGTAAGACAGTAAAAGTTAGCTGGTGAGCGTCAGACAGAAAGCTACAGAGAAGTCGAGAGCGAGACAAAACAAACATGGAATCACTACTTAAATTCATGAAAATCGCATAGAAGGGCGATTCGAAGCTAAACATAAAAAGGGAGGGTTTCAAAAGCTTATCATCCGTATAGTCTTGCTTAGCTTTTAAGCATGTGTGAAAAGTTCGATTGACAGTCGAGTTTTTGTTGTAATTGCTGATGCTGCGTGATTTTGATGTGACTTTGTTGCGATTTGTGTGATTGTCAAACAGAGATAGCGAACAGCTGAAATTTACTTTATCAATAAAGTACAAAAGGTGCGTAGTAGGGAAGGGCTGCCAAGTGGGTTATATATATGGTAAGAAGGCAACTCTAGAGCATGCTGTCGCCTACACGCTTCACATAATTTCCTCTTTTATTTATTTTACTTTATTTTTGGACAATTTCTCACAGCATGTGATGAGGCGCATTGAAGTGCAAATGTAACAGAGCAAATATTGTGAATGCTGATAAAATATTTGATACAAGAAGCGCAAGACAGGGCATAGTTGAGAGAGAAAGCGAGCGGGAGAGGGAGACAGAGAAAGAAATGCAAAGAACTGGAGACGAGACGAGTTCAAGTGCGAGTTCATTTCTTTTGCACAGTTTTGTTATCTTTTCTGCCAGCGTAAGTACTTGTAATACATATACACAACACACACACACACATCCACATTTTGTGTACATACTAGAAGAGCTCGGGCTCACAAACTTCTCTCAATTGTGTATAAAACAATTTTCGGGCCTTGTCGTTTGCCTTGTTGTCGCTGTCTCGTAATTAAATAATAAATTCAACTGAAAAATCGTATATGCTGGGTCTCAAGCATGATGACTATTTGCTTGTATGCATACATATACATATGTATATATGTGTGTGTGGCCTGACACATTCATACGCCCCGTATGCCAATGAACTGAACGCTGTTTTTCTGCTGTCTGATAATGAAATTATATCGTTCGCATTATTTAAAGCGCACAGCAACAAGCGCGAATGGCATAAACTAAACACACACTGACGCACACACACGCACACGTACATACACACACTATACCATATGCTTGTTTGCCTATGTGTGTCATTCCAAAAATGGGCGAGCGTCGTGTTGGCTGCCGTTTTATAAAATACAAAAAGTTTCTTCATTTCTTTTTTGTTATTTGCAAAATTGCGTCATTTGCAAAATATTTCACGCCGCAGCAGCAAAAACAACAATAAAGAAATAACAACAACAACGCATCAAACTCTACTCTCTTTTTCGTAAGCTGTTTTGTTAACTATCTTTGGCTTCCTAACGCGAATGGTTCTCCGCCCCCTTCTTCCGCTCTTGCGTTTCCCGCGGTGCGTGGCAAACACGTGTGCAGACTTTAAGTTAATTTTTCACAGTTTATTACACTCTTACTTCTCCTTTTCTGCTTCTTGTTTAAGCTCATATCTATTTTAATTTATAAAGTTTTAGTTACCATTAACCTTTCGCTATTATTTATGTGGCTTTCATTTTGATGAGAGAGAGACAGAGAGTGAGAGGGAGGGGAATACAAAAGCCAGCAATGATGATAAAAGAACAATTTGATGTTATAAGCTAAACATTTTGATTGCCTCCATCCAAATAACAATGTTAATAATCACGTTAATAATGATAATGCTGATGATATGGCAAACGGATGTCAATCACGCAAGTGCAAACAGGCTAAGAGACTTTTTGCTCTACTAAAGGTAAAGCTAGTTGCTAAACATGTTTAACGAGTCGCATATGTGTGTTTGTTAGTGGTTACTTCTGTTTAACCTAAATGATATCTAAAGTCTGGTAAAAGTAAGTTTAGTAACACTGGAAATGCACTAATTTTCGAAACATATTTAAGTGTATCCATATTTTACAAGATAACTCGCTTTGGTAGCTATTTTAAGTGAAAGCTTAACATTTACCAACACTGGTGATTCGCAACATAAATGCTCTTTGACAACATTAAACCCGTTTACTAACACCAAAATAAAAAATAACATCTTAAAGGCTAAGAATTTAAACTAATTCTTTAAATATTTCCCATTGTTGTTTATAGATTCCAGAAGACACCTACATTTTAAAAGGAATTTTTATAATTTACCAACACTCTGGCAATCCACTAATGTTCTTAATAGTATAACCTAACACTTACGCTTTTCAGCAATAATAATCTCGTTTTCTAACAGCAATCTAAACATTTTCTCAGTTTTACCATTATTATTCTTTCTTTGATTTACTTCTAAGTATTTTCACTGACGTTGTTCATATTATTGGATATAACCATAACGTATTTTTATTTAGTTTCCTTTCTCTCAATTTTTTCACTATGACTTTACATTTAGTTTAGCTCTATTTCTAGACACCCGGCATCATTATTTAATGCTGCTTGCGCAAGTCAAATATAACTACCATTCCATTAACATTAAAACAAGTGCCCCTTTTTTTCTCCCCCTTTTTTTGCCTGGTCAGTCTTTGGCAGAAATGGAACCCGTCTCGAGTCACGTGCCAAAAGTGCCTCAAGTAAGCAACCCAAAACATCAAATACAGAGCACAACACCACACAGAGCAAATACAAATGGACTTATTTGTGATTTATGATGTCGCCGACATGAGCGCCATATAATTCATTTAAGCAGCGCCCGTTGATGTCTTCCCTACTCCTGCCCCTTTCTCAGCTCTTTCTGTAAAGAACCTCTTTCTTTCTCGCTCTCTTGATGTCTTTCCTAATAAATCAAGGGGGCAGTCGCATTGCACTTGTGCCAAAAATATATATAACCATAAATCCACTCAATCACGATTAGCGACAGTTATTATTTGTCCCACTGTCAACCCGTTGCCGGATTGTGTCTTAAAGTTGAGATACAGCTGGGGCAAATATATATTTAAACATGGTTTTGGCAATTGTTAAGACTTGGTTGTTGTTGACTTTTTGGGCTAGGCAAATCTCTTGGTGACTGCCTATGCCAAAGTCATCAAATCAAGAAGCAGTCAGCTAAATCCGGTACGCTTCGTCTTTTCGACTGATTGCGATTCTTGAGGGTGAGATATGAGAGGGAGGGAGGGGCACCAGTGTGGTTGGGGTTGTGGGCGTACATAAAAAATGCCGCTCACGTGACTTCTATAAATTAAATGCGTGTGTGAAGGGTAGGAACTGGTATCTGGTACGGCAGCTGATAGATGGGCCATGCAGGAAGGAAACCCAGGCAGTCAGAGCTGAGAGATACGACAGGAACGACCCCTCTAGACCCCGGCTCGGGCTAGTCCTGCCCCAGCGATACCAGAATTTGCCATTGGCGAAACGCATAATTGACGCAAGTCATGTGCAAAGGGCGGGCTGTGTGTGGGGGGGAGCAAAGGAAACTCGCCTGGCAAATAATTCAAATGCCTGCCGTGGAACGCGAATTTCGGATTATCAGCCCATGACGCGGCAGGTGGCAACTGAACCGGGGGCATGCACCGGGCACAGGCGCTATAATTTTTCAAATTCTGTTCAACATAATCC